GCAATCGATATGACCAGTGCAGGGTGGCCAGTGAATTTTCATTTTGAAATTCCCGGTTTTTTCCCGGTTTTCCCGGTTCAAATCTTAAAAATTTCCCGGTTGTTAATATTCAACAAAAAGCTGGAAGGAATTTACTGAAAGGATAAAAAATGTGATTTATGGAGATTCCCAAAATTCTGGGGCTTTGAAATTTGTGTAGAGTCTGAAACTAGAACTTTTCTTCAAAATTTGTGATAAATAACAATCTTTGTGATGCAAGATTTGGAGAAAAAATAATTAAAATGTGAGATTTTGAAACAATTTCAAGATCACAGATTTGAAGAAAAAAAAAAATACTTATGAGTCGTGGAGTCATAATTTTCAAGCTCTTGGAAGCATTTTAAGGGTTATAAAAAATTACAGAACAATCTATAGAATCTTGCGAACAAAGCTTGGAATTTTTGGTAAAATTTATAAGAATTCAAAGTGTGATTTCGAACATATATTGAGAAGGATTCTCACACCGTTTTCGAAGGAGAAGTTCTGAGCAGAAGTCCAAAATTAGAGCCCTTAAAAATTGTTAGCTGAATTTGGAGGGATTTCTGTGGAGAAGAATGCAAGTTCTAAATTAATTTTAGGTAAATTTAGAAGATTTCACAAGGCGGCTTACTACGGATGTCACTTCACGCTGAAAACTTGTCACTTGTCGTCACGGTGAAGTGATTCCCATTTGATTTGTACGGCAATCACGGCTCTTATTCTGAGTATCACTTCCTTATCACCGTGTAGTGACACCCGTAATAAGGCCCAAGGAGTTATGAAAAACAAAACTTTAAATCGTGAGGAAAACGACAGATGAATTCAAAGAAGAATTCCAAAAGAATTATGATCAGAATTCAACAGGAAACAGAGTTCTAAGAGTGTTCTTGGGATAATTTCAACCCTATTGCGAAAGATTCATCACAGAGCTCCAACAAAATTGATTGCAAAACATTTGCTGATAATTAGAAAGAAATTCTTTAAAATACTCCAAAGCGTTTCTAAATAAAATTTCGAAAGATTTCTGTTGTTTTGAATAGAGTTAAATTAAAAAACTTAAAGTTTTTTAAAGGAATCAAAGTCTCCAAATAAGTTCAAGGGAATTCTAAGAAGGATTCCAACTCAATTCTTAGAAGGGGTTTCCAGTAAATTCCAAAAATAATTCAACGGTAATTATTGCGCGGAGTGTTTTCTGGTTAATTTCAGAAGAATTCCATGATAATTCAAAGCAGAATTCCAAGTTCATTCTGGAATTCATATCATGAGAATTTTGAACAACGAAAAATTGAAACCCCGGAAAAGAATAATTCAGGTTCGGTTTTTACAAATATTTGTTTCCAAAGTCCAGCATCTTAAATATTTTCTTTTAAGGACCATGCACTTTTTATCTGAAATTGAAACGACAAAAATCAATTTGCAATATTGCTGAGTGATTAAATTCTCAAAACAATAAGACGGGAAACTGAAGAAAATTATGCAGCAAATAGAGCAAGACATTCATTTGGTAAAGGATCACTCTGTTTTAATGGTTTATTCTGAAATCCTGGTGTAAAAAATTGTTCCTATGGTATGGTTAATTTATTTTTCCCGGTTCTCTCGTCGAATTCCCGGGTTTTTCCCGGTTTTCCCGGTTACTTTTCAAATTCCCGGATATTTCCCGGTATTCCCGGTTTTCCCGGTTTGCTGGCTACCCTGCCAGTGTCAATTCTCCGATCTCCTCGCCGATCTCTTCAACGTCGCAGTATCAATTTTTCGACGTAGAATCGCTTTTTGGAGTTGATGGGACATGCACGAGATTTGTTCAGACTGGAACCAATGTTGAACAGTAACCGAGCCAGTTTTGCAAGCAACTGAAGGAAACGAAAAAGCTTCAATTACACCCACTTTTTTATTGGTGCGATTACGCAGATTACGACCGGGAGAAAACAACGAAAATAACTCGCGTAGATGATATCTGCATCTAACATAAGTTCTTACCTACAGGCAACGTGATGTGTGAACGGTATATGTTTCGTTTCGGGTGTTAATTACAGCGAATTTATGATATTAAGTGCTTTAAAAATCAATGCAATTATGCAAATTTCTTCTATTTCCAGCTGATTATTTTCCCAAAGCTGCAAAAACAGTCAGTAAGAGTTGTCACTTTGTCCAAGAATGTCAGATAAGCCAAAAATGTCAAATCATGTGAGCTATGGTGCATCTATATGTGGTTGACAGGGATAGAGGGCCCCTGGTTTGGACAGTTCGGATCACTGCACATTTAAATCGATCGTTTACGATTTTCGGACATAAGTCAGAATTAAGTGTCATGTCGGTTTGTCGGTGGTTGCACTACCAGGAAAAAAAGCACTTCAAAGGATTCAGAACAAAGCTCTGAAGATGATTTTGAAGTTGCCTTCCTGGTACAGTACGCTTTGCGCCGTCCGGATCGTGACAACGCGTGTGACACTATCCTTACCAGGATGTATGTCGATTATGCTTATTTGGAAGATACCTTGAGTTAGTAGTAAGTTTTCTGGCAAATGTTGGGGGTTCGTGAGCATTCCTGACATTGCTGAAAATTATGATAGCATCAATTGCGGGGTTGCTAGTGTAATAGGATGCTTTGTTGATTGTTCATTAACTCTTGATTGCTTGTAATACTTATGAATATTTTAGGTGGACAAAAAGGCGAGCTAAGAGGTGGGCGCCTGAGCTTTTCCACATTCATATCGCTGTGAAGCAACTGTAAACTCTAGAGGGAATTTATATCTGTAACTGAAACCAGTTCGATTTTGTTTGCAAACTTGGTTAAATTATCATATATAATTATCTTAAAGATAAATTGTCCAGCTCAAACCTTTGTAGGGGTAAGAGGTGGGACCATCATCATCATCATTCCTTCATTAGAGAAGCAAAGCCGTTGGCCCCGACCCATGTGTGATATGTACTCAGGTGTGGAAGCCGCCTTCCTGACCTGACCATTCGATTACTATTGTAATTTTTTTTGTCTATTGTCAATAGAGATTAGTGACGTTTAAAGCACGCACGGAGGTCTATCGCTGTGTGAAGTTGTTTATTATTTTCCTCGGGCTAACCTCAAAATGTATGTAATTCGATCTGTCAAAATGAGTTTGACAGTGGTTTGTTATGTATTATTCTCGGATTTTCACGTCCCAGATTTTCACTAGCACAGTTTCACACAGCGCACCAATACAGCCAGGCGTGAAAATCTCTATGCATGGAAATCGATGTCCGTCGGTTATTGGCACTAGATTGCGCAACTGAGAAAAGAAGAAGTCTCATTAATCAGTATGTGCGGCTCGGATGCCAATGATAGTAAATTGGTTGAACCAAATGAAGTAGAATCGAGTGAAAGTCTATACTACCCATAATCGCATATCAGTCCCATCTTTGCTTGATTTCCTATCCATATGGGACTGATATGCGATTATGGGCAGTATACACAACTTGATACTGCACACAAGGGCTACTTCCACTCACTTGCTATAAAAAAATGTTTTTTCAGAAATTATGAAATCATGAGATGGTGTAGTGATAATTAGTTAAGTAAGTTACAAGATGAGGACGTGAAGTATGTGTTTGACACATAAAATCTGTCAATATTGCTTTCAGTGCGTCACAATCAGCAATTTTACGACTCGTGAGTACTCACTCTGAGTAAACGCTCACGAATCATAAGATCGATTATTGTGACGCTCTGAAAGCAAAATTAGCAGGTATTATGAGTCAAATACATACTTTAAACCCTCGTCTCGTTACTTGCAAGTACAGCATATCATTATATAATCAAATGATTGCATAATTCCGAAAAATATGTTTTAATAGCAAGTGAGTGGAAGCAACCCTGCTGCACACTTAGATTTTTTTTGCCGAGATGAGCACCACCGAGCAGCTCGTCATTTTATTTTGCTGGATCTCAGTGAAAAACTTGCCGAGATTCAGCTAACAAATGGAAATTTTGCCGAGATCTCAGCTAACAAACATAAATTTTGCTGAATCTCGGCAAGTTTTTCACTGAGATCCAGCAAAATAAAATTCCGACTGCTCGGTGGTGTCCATCTCAGTAAAAAAATCTAAGTGTGTGGGACTGCAGTATTTTCGATCATATGAAATCCTTAACAAATATCATTTAGTGCTTCTCAGAATGAAGCGGTAAAGTTAACCAAAAATCAAAATTGTTTATAGCAAGTTATATCCATTTAAAAAACAAGAGTTGATGTTGCTCTGATGATTTTCGAAAGTTCTGTTTAATCAATAATTTGATTGATCTAACTATTAATTTTGTACAGGCTGTTTGCTTTAGGATGGTGCTCATGATGTCGATTTATTTTGTCCATTAAATTAGCAAAAAAATGAAACTTTATCACGTGTTCAAAGCAGCCCCTCTGTTTTCATTTCCGACTGAGGTTTGATTCTGGCGAACATTTTCTACAATCATTCTTTGTCGTTCATACGCTTCTTATTACACACCATAAAAGTATCCCTTCCTTTTGAATGTACACAACATGCCTTTTATTATTTACTTTATTTATTTCATACATGTTAAAGTTCGTTTTCACGTCAAAAGAATCCCCGTTCGGTGGTACTCATATATGAAATTTATCACATTTTCCAAATCTACAGTATTTTTTGTGGGCTATTTTTCATTTTAACCTTTCTCGTATACCTAGCTGAAACAAAAACCTATAATACCACTTGAAAAACACAATATTTGATCTAAGGCCCGGAGGATCAAATGTCATATACTCAGTTGATTAAAAATACTTTTTATTTAAATGAATATCACGTTAAATGTACATGAATGTCATAAGCGATGCTTTGTCGGTCTTAGAGCATCAAAATTTACATTAATTTTTCGTACTTTAATTTGATACTATTTTCGTCCGTTTCGAAATGGCTATTAGAAAAGCAAAACCAACAATTTAAACCTATATAGCTACAATTTAATCATTTTGACCAATAACATGTGTTGTACTGACCTTGAACATCTGTTAGATAGATTGGCGGCTGCTGAAGGTTGGTGCCCTTGATGGGAGAAACACAGCTGGTTTCCTGAATCTCTTGTTGAAGGACGGAAAGGTATGACTCAAGTATGCAGAAACCATCAAATGTTATCGTAATGTTGTCGTCGTCATAGCCATTGCTAATTTTGTATATAGCTGATGGAGATCTGTTGCTTTTTGCTTTACCATCATACATCTGACATACTGCATCAAAATATGCCAAAACTTGTTTGATAACACTTATTGAGACTATACCAGATGTATAGCCTAGTGCCACCAGTGCCGTTTGGCATTGAGTTAAGTTGATTACATCACTACTATTGTTTGAAACTCTATCAAACGTTCTTCGAACAGATCTGAAATGGAAATAATACAACATACATAGGGTGGCGAACGGCTTCAGACCCTATTCAAAGCACGAAGTTTTTCTAAAGAAAATTAATCAGAAATCTACTCAAAAGATGCTCTATGATCTAAAGCATTATACCCCATGCTTATAATAGGGTCAGGGGGCCGAAACCGTTCTCCATCCTAGATCATTGATATGTACATATGCTAATTACATAACAATTATTTTTTTTTTAAGAAGACACATATATGAAATTACTGCTAGGGTGGCTGGATTTAATCTCGACCTATGCTATTATTACCATAGTAGCCCACTGGTTGCAAACCGACTTTCTTCAGTCATAAACAGGTGGCTACAATTTTTCGCAACGGAATTATACTCGCTAAAACACAATTGAAGCAACTTTTAATTCCATCTTTATCCATCTTTTCTAAATATAAAAGTGAAGCTGAATGCACTGCATAAGCTTGTAGGCAAAGAATAATGAGAGGCAAGCTACAACAATCCTACACAGTTCGAAAAAGTAGTGTAAATATCTGTAATATATGATGCACATAAATGGAGCGTCATATACATACGTCATACAAGTTTATATTATAGTAGATCGTGTAATGTTGAGACATTCAATAAAATATTCCGGCTATAGCATTCAACCGTCCATCTTTGTAAGGCTTCGTACACAAATTATGCAACGCATGGAGCGGGAGAGGGGGATCGAGCGTTACTTATTGTTACCTTGGGGGGAGGGTCCAATATCCCGATTTGTTTGCAACATTGCGCAAGTAGCTAGTTTGCGTGGAAAGACACACAAGTTTACAGGCATGGATATTTACGGGACCAGTAATTCATAGTGTACTTCTGTTTGGGTTTTATCGATGCACGGCAAATTAATCTGACATGAGTCCTATTCACTCAAATTCGCAAAAGCGTATGTCTGTCATAGAATGAGTTATGTTTTACTCAAATATGAGTAAATATCAATCAACTTTGAGTGACATTTACTCATATATGAGTGACATTTACTCTTATTTGAGTTAAAATTTACTGCTTCTACACTTTTTTTTTTCCTTTGGTTTGTTTTTTCCGTCGATCTTGTTTTCCGTGCTGAGCACCAATGCTACCGACGTGCCAGGAAGGCAGCTCCCACACCTGGACCCTACCTATCGACCCATCAACTCATGAACCGGGAACCAACGGCTTTACTTCCCATCCGATCAGAGATGTTATGCCTCAGAACATCCCGGCGGCGCCGACTCGGATTGAACCCAGGCCTGCTGGGGTTAGAGGTAATCACGCTTACCGCTACCCACCGGCGCCGTTACTGCTTCTACACTGTAAACGAATCTTAATCAGAGAGTGAGTCAATTTTACTCATTCCTATGGATACATTTCTAAAAGCGTAGGTTACTGATGCACTGAGTGAACTATGCTATTAGGAATTTCTACATAAACTGAGGAAAAATCAAACATTGTTTTTATATTTCCAAACATGCTTATTTGCAATAGAACCAACAAAATGTTTTCGATGTGTCGGACACATACATTTAATGTCTGAACATCAATTGGATGTGTGATCACATATACTTTTCACAATACTGATGAATTTCATGGGATTTCACAGTGTCTTTCATTTATGTGAGCTCGATGAATGTTATCAGTCTATGTACATGGAAATTTTCCATAAAGTATGTGTACTTTTACATGATTGTACGAATGAGTAAAAGTGTCTTACAACAGAGTAAAAGCCACTCACCTTCTAAGTTAGTTTCGTTTTCAGTGCATGAGTAACCGATTTTGCGAATTTGAGAAGACGGGAATCAAATATAAGTCAAATTGATTTGCCATGTAGATTTCCGGAAACAGTTGGACGTTTTGGAAAAATCGATGTATCAAACACCAGTGTATTGAATAGTATTAGTAATTATATTACTGGTTGCAACTAAAACTGGACTAAAAAAATAATAGAATTGCACGCCTACATCAAAAAAATACGTTTGTTTGTTCGGAGAACGTATTTCTTGCTTCACAAGGAATAAGTGCCACGAAGACAACAAAACGATTCGGTATAAATGTGCACTTTTATCAACCTTTTTAATAGGTAAGTAAGATTGCGCTCATTTGTCCAGCTTGATGATAAATGCACAATACATACCCTTAAAAAACCCCTTTTTAAATTTAAATTATAAAAATCCTAGAAAATTGTCGAAGCGTCTTCCGTGTAGGGGAACAGGATTTTTCAGTAATCAAAGGAACACATCTTAGTCCTTGTTAATTTTTATGCCTTGTTAATAGTGATAAGTCTTCGGGTTGCTTGGACCGAGGATGATCTTGAAACAAGGAAAAAATGAGTTAGTTAGTCTTCATCTATGTGATTCCTAATCTTCTATTCGTTTTTCCCTAGTTTGAAGTGGTTAAGACTAGGGTTCTGATGCATGGTCATTATCGGTGTCATTCCTTAATTTTGTTGCTAAGGAATCCAATTTTGACTGACAAAGGAGCGCGCCTTTGGAGGATCCTTGCGATAAATGAAAGAATATCAACTGTAAAAAATCGAATACTTCATCATTTTTCATTAGTGATGGAGTAATACGACATACACTAAACTAAGGACACAGGATATACTACAATAGATCAAATTACTGGTCGCAGGGGGGCCTCATAGCCTAGTCAGTAAAGGCACGGTATTACCAAGCCGGAGGCGGCGGGTTTCGATTCCCGGTCCGGTCGAAGGAATCTTTTGGGTTGGAAATTTTCTCGACTTCCCTCGGCATATAGAGTATCATTGTGCTTGCCACACAATATACAAATTCATGCATTGGTATTGGCATCGAAAGCTCTCAATTAATAACTGTGGAAGTGCATTTAGAACACAAAGTTGAGAGCACGCAATAAGCTAATATGCGCTAAGCAATAAGCTTGAAATGCGAACAAGAAGAAGAAGAAGAAGTGGGGTTAGGTCCCGAACAGAGGAAAAAAACCCGAAACGTCGAGAAAAGATTAAAACTATAGTTTTCAATCTCTCTAAGACTGCTAAGCTAAATCCCCATAAGTATATCACAACAGTCGAACAACCCATATGTATAAAAAGATAAATAAAAACTTACATCAATCTTGTTGCAATATTATGTGGATGCTTTCGACAAGGTCCTCCAGACAGAATTATCTTTATATGCTCTAATGCTAACGAGATTTTGTCTAGAACAGGTAAACCTCTACGATGCACGAGATGCTTCAACAGCTGCTGATTTCGAGAAAGGTCCATATATTCACTGAGTGAGAGTGAAGAAATTTAAATGATTTTCAATCATAACACAATATTGCAATACTTACTCTAATGTTAAAGTTTCGTTCAAAATTTTCTGTTGTTGTTTGTATGGTAAAAGGACTAGCACAAGATGTTTGGAATTTCTTCCTGCTATGTGTGCCACTTCAATAGCACCGGCAGCTGATCTGGTTTGAGAATCCATAACAAAAAATAACACTTTTGCTTTCTCTTTAGCTCGGTGCTCTAATTCTAACAGATCTGGGGTCCATTCTGAAACTTGCTGTAAAAATTAATAAAATAAAATATTTAAACTTTTCAATTTTTTTTATTTGAATGTTGTCAGTTTAATTAATGTTATTTGTCTTCAACATTGTTCTTTTTTCCTTTTTTTGCTGAGCACCAATGCTACCGACACGCCACGCCAGGGAGGCAACTCCCCCCTGGACCCTACCTATCGACCCATCAAACTCATGAACCTGGGACCAACGGCTTTACTTCCCTTCCGAAGGAAGGCTGATCAGAGATGTGATTGCCTCAGAACAACCCGGCGACGCCGACTGGGATTGAACCCAGGCCTGCTGGGGTGTGAGAGGTAATCACGCTTACCACTACACCACCGGCGCCGCTGCACCGATGGACATCGATTGCCATCTATTGACGGCAATCGAATGTGCAAGAAAGCGCTTATTGTGAAACACATCCATTGCATGTGTGAATCTTATGTTATGAACCATGCCTGAACACTATGGATTAGAATTGTGACACACTTGGATTCTATGTGCAAAATATATACACAAATATATACACAAAACTGCCAGAGCTTTCACATATATTTTAATGGGTCTGATTTGGGATTCGATCATTTTTTTTTCCTTGGTTTGTTTTCCGTCGATCTTGTTTTCCGTGCTGAGCACCAATGCTACCGACGCCAGGGAGGCAGCTCCCACACCTGGACCCTACCTATCGACCCATCAACTTATGAACCGGGGACCAACGGCTTTACTAAATGCAGTAAAAGCAGCGTAATGTCAGTTCATGCACTGTATTAATCATAATTTTGTCCTTTTTGGCAAATAATATTACACCTTATTTTCGACACGATTGAAGTGCATCCACTTTGATGTGATATCAACATTAATTTTTTGCTGTGTGCTGGGGTGAGAGGTAATCACGCTTACCACTACATCGATTGGATTCGATCATGGACTGTTGGGTTTGCTGTTGCCGGAGTCTTCGTTCTATCTCACTGTGCCACACGATTGTTCTCATATATGAGGCGGGTTGATAGGATTAAGTCACAACTCTAGTTTTCGATGTTTACCTTTCTGAGCAAGCAATTCACATCGCATTGAAATGCAAAACACTTTAAATCCATCCGTTTTGAACAGTAGTGTGATTCAATGTGCAATACACTTGAATAGATAGTGAAAGATTTTCAACATTTCATAGTTTGAAACACTAGAAATTAACGTGTATAACACATTGAACCAAAGTGAAATACACAAATCAAGTGTTTAAACAGACGACTTTCACGCTAACTCGACAAATGGTTGGCAGCACCCTCTCCGATGTCAATGAAACTTTGTAAGTGCATAGATTTCATCTACTTAAGCAACTTTGCATGCTTGTTTTCTTTAAAAAAATCTAGACCAACATTTGGAAAGGGCAGAACTTTTTTGGCATCATTTTCTTCACAAAATTGTAACTCAATAATAAACTTTTCCCAAAAACCTTTTTTTGTAATCTGAAACTTTTTCTAAAGATAAGCATACCATTTATGCAATGAGCTGGATAACCGAGGTGAAGCAATCGGTTAAATTGTGTGAGTAAAACCCCTGTACGAAACAAACAATTAGCGACGTCACTACTTGCGTTTACGTTGATTTTTTGGATTACTAATACAACCATATTTCACGATCTGCTTCAACTCTTTTTGTACCTCATTGCCATTTATGTACAACTCGTTGCTACATTCCAAGATGGGCAGTGCGGAAGGAAAAAGTTATGTAGCCGAAATTGTTTGTGGGTAACGCTGATTTCATTTTTTTTTTTTTTTTTCGTTTTAGGAGAGTGGAAAGGAAAAAAGAAAAATGCAAAAAGGCGTGTTTCTCGTGTACCGAGAGAAAGAAAAAGAAAAAAGAAAGAAAGAGGTAGAGAGAGAGAGAGAGAGAGAAAGAGGGAGAAAGAGAGAGAAAAAGAAAAAAGAAAGAAAGAGGTAGAGAGAGAGAGAGAGAGAGAGAGAGAGAGAGAGAGAGAGAGAGAGAGAGAGAGAGAGAGAGAGAGAGAGAGAGAGAGAGAGAGAGAGAGAGAGAGAGAGAGAGAGAGAGAGAGAGAGAGAGAGAGAGAGAGAGAGAGAGAGAAGCCTAAGCCGAAGATAGTAAACTCCAAGCGAATGTTCATGAGAAATCTGCGTTGAATATGGAATGGACTATTCTGAGGTCTCCAGAACAACTTGAAAGTTCCCAAAATATTCCTTAAGTTAATTAAATTGCCTTGAAGTTCTCTTGTAGTTTGAGAAACTAGCCTGATGCACGCAATACTTTTTAACTTCTCTAAACTTTTCCGGACTTCCTAAAGTTTCCACAATTTACCTAGCGATCATGAATCTTCTCTAAAGTGTTAAAAAATCACTGAATTTCTCGAAACTTTTTTAAAATTTATGTAATTTCCCTGCTCTGGAATATCTCTGCATCTTCAGAGCAGTTCTTTCTTGTTTTTTTTTTTGTTTAGAGCTTTATTAGCGAGATCAATATCTTTCTCGAAGTTCTCGAAACTTCTCTTAAGTATTTGCAGTTCTAATGAAGCTTGTACTACCATGAATTTAATTGAACTGTTCTAAAAATGTTTAAGCTTGCGTGAACTTCTGGACTTATGTGAAAACCTCAATAATTTTCTTAACATCTCTTAAGTTCTCTGAAAATCTGGGAACTTCTTGTAATTTCCGGCTAATTTAGTGAATCTAATGAAACTGAACTCCAAGCAAACCGATTTTTTTGAAAATTTTGGTTTCTGCAATTTCCATTAAATTTTTTGAAGTGCCCTTTAACTCTCTTATCTGTCTTGATGTTCTCGGAGCTTCCCTAAAACTCTCAACTCTAATGAAGATCTCGGTTCTGCTTTAAAATAAATGGAATTCTCGTAAACACCTTTAAACTTCCCTGGAATTCTCTGGATATCTGTGAAGTTCCTGAAATATTTCTGAAGTTTTCATAAATTTTCTGAAGGTCTCTGTACTGAATCTTTCGGAACATCTTATGGGTTCACGATTTTATTTCAGCACATCATGGAACTATCCTAAATTTGCCTTAACCCACGCTTAAATTGTTTTAAACCAATTCAATAGTCTGGGCTAAAGTTTCGGGGACTTTCCCTTAAGATCTCTGGAATTCCCCAAAGATCTCTAGATCTAGCTTTTCTGAGATCAAGAGAACTTCATTAAAGTTTCCACATTTTTGTTAGTACGAAACGTCAAGACATTAAAAATGTTGTGATCTTAGACTTACTAAAATGAAGTAAGTGTTCAACTTCAAAAATTAATGGATTTGATAGTAAAGCTGTTTCTTTAAAACTGATTGTCATGTCTTTGCTTTAAAAACACATTTTTAACGCATTTCATTAATAGCATTTTTATTATAAACCTGGAAATTATTCGCCAATGTTATGGAAAAAAAACCTGGAAAACTCAGGGAACTTTATTTAGCCAAACACCCTGTAGATAGAGAAGAACGATTAAACGTAAAAAAAACTCTATACAAGGTCGTCACTTCGAATTGTTCAAAAAATAGAACAAAATGTAGGCCTATTCAGAAGAATGATCAATCTTGAAATAAATTCACGTTTAAAAAAGTTTAAAATAGTGACTTATTACAAAGAAAAGTGACTTTAGTGACTTGTCCTTAAAAAAAGAGACTTTTTAGTGACTGGCTTGTAAAAAGTGACCAAGTCACTAAAACGTGACTCGCTACCAGCCTGCAACTTCTATTCAATTTTCATACTGCGTACTCTAACGGAACTATCTACATACCCTCTAATAAATTATCACACTAAAGCTTCATGTTAGATAGCATTTCCAACCAACTCTGAAGAATTTTATGTTTGATTCGTCTATGAACAATGATGGCAACGCCATCAAGAAAATCATTTCGATAAATGAAATAACTTGCGTCCCTTTTAACCTTATGGTCAGGTTTAAGGAACGTTTCAGTAATTACGGCAATATGCACGTTATGAACTCTCAAAAAGTTAAATAGCTCGTCTTCATTATCTTTACGAGATAATATTTTTCAATTCAAACTATAAAATGATTTAAAATCCATTACTGTTAAAATTCAGACATGACTATATTGTTCGCAAATTTTACTCCAGTTTGAAAAGCATCAAACATGGAGTTAAATTCCATTTTAGGAGCAGTCCTCCTAAGTCAAAATTATCAAAATTTCCGTAAGAATCATGTTGGCTAGTATTGCGATTTCTACCTGTTGCCATAGCAGCTCCATTTACTCGCTGAACATAGATAGCAGCGAGGGGAGCAGGTATAGATGAAGCACAGACAAACAGACATAACACATTGCATATTTCTCATTGTAAAACATCGTCGCTATAACATTACCGCCATCTGTTGAGTACACCGTGGTGGGTAGTACACTGAACAGATGGCGGTAGTATGTAAACGTCAAACGAAAGAAAATTGACTATGCGTGCTATAGGTGGCGGTACTACCAACTACGATACTTTTAAATTGATTGTTAAATGCTTGTTCGATGAAGAACTTGCGAGTGTGATGTCTGTTTGTCTGTGGATGAAGAATTTGAAGCAGGGGTGATATTTACGGGTACGAGTGTAGAATGTTTTCCTGTCATTAAGAACGAGATTGTAGGATAGCTTTGCGAGTCTTACATTCCCTAAAGTTGGGAATATTACAGTTTTGGAAATTTCCTCCAGTCTTCCTTAAGTGTTCCCCCTTCACTTGGACATGGAGCATAAGGCTAGCTTTTTCTAATGCCTTAAGGTTGTTTAGTTCACTAGACTTGAAGTGAACTGAATACAAATTCCGTTGCGGGAATCGCCAGGACGGGATTTCATTTTCTTTTTATTACTTGGACTGGCACAACTCCAAGTAATTTTGCCAGTTCATCTTTGATCTGATCTAGGGATCCAGTCCTTTCATGACAACCTTAAAAACACGTTCGGTTTTGGCGTCGTAAGTAAAAAATTGATGCTGCTTCTCAGTAAGATACTTGAGAAGACGTTTGAATCCGTCCAAGATTTCAGCCAATTCAC